GCCCGGGCCGGGGGGCCGGCTGTCGTGATTTATGCGTGCGAGTGAGTAATACCGTGCGAAATGATGGCCACTTACACCGGATACCTGCGTGCTTGCCGTGAGTTATGAAGCGGAGGGTCAGAGGCCACCCTTCTTTAATACCAGCAAACTGCAGGTATCCAGCGTAACTGCACCTTTGAAGCATATTATTGCTGAGACAAAAATGTATTTCTTTCATTTATTGTTACAGCTGGTTTGCTGGTTGAAACACGGTGTCGGACTCTGCCTTTCACTGACAAAAGCTTTCTCCTCTCTGATTTCCTTTACAATATGCAGTAGTAGTGTTATTTAGGCTGGAGAATGTTTAAAATTATATTTTGGGGGCAATGATGTGTCCTTTCCCTTTTGCTGAGGTTTAGTACTTCTAAGTGTGCTTGCACGGAGTTATAGTGCTGGCATTACACTGTGTTCATTTTTATGGAGGCAAATAAACGATAACATACTGCACTCCTCCCAAGAGAGCCATACCAAACAGCTCCGCTAGGAAATAGTTTAATTTTTTTTTCTTGCTTCTTCCTTGCCTTAATCCTCCCATCTATAGAGCATGAAGGTATAAAGCAAGAAAATGATCTCCTTCCAAAGAGCGTGACTGCACGTGGGTCTGCGGTGGAGCATTCCCACTGACCTTACCTTCTGCGTCTCCCGGTTTTATCAGGAGACTCTCTGCTCTGGCTGCAGCCCTCCTTGCTTTTTCTGTTTTCAGCAAATCCGTCCATCTTCTCACAATTCTTGCTTCTTCTTGTCTTGATTTGGAGCTTGACTGACTCTGTTGCAGCCAGTGGAAGTGTTAATTTCAGCGGTCCTTGGAGGAGGCCTGTACTCACATGGCTGTTCTCCGAGGCCAAAATAGGAGGAAGGGCACAGAATGTCCCTCCTTGTTGCCCTGTGTGGCAGTTCTCTGAAGAGCTCACCCGTGTCCCGCCATGTCCCTTTTACGTGAACTTCCCACACCCCTGTGGGTCTCAACGGTTGCCAGCCTGTTGGGAGACTCTAGTAATGTCAGTGGACCACAGCACTGTCCCTCTCAAAAAAACCCTTCTTTTCCGTGTATTATTAGGCAAGTTGGTGCACTGTATTGCATCCTGCTTTGCAGATACCTCGTGAAGATGATGCTGTCGATCCTTTCTGTGCATCAGGGTAGTGTGCAATCCTTGAAGTTCTCCCTTTTTGCCCCAATCTGATATTAAGGACTTCCTTCCCTTGCCCTCTTGAGGCAGAGGAATCCACAGCCTACAGTGACCGCCTTTAAATGGGTGCTGCAATGTTATTGCAAGTGTACTTGGGTCAAAGCCTTCCAGGTATCATTACACAAAAGTTAAGTCACGGGAGAGGAAAAGATGCATGGTAACTTTTTACTCAAGGCGTGGTAAAATATGTCTGGTAGGGCTTCCACTCCGAATAACATTTATGAGGAATCTTAAAAATTTTATTTGTACAATTGGATAAAAACTAAAGAGAGATGTATAAAGCATGCAACTACGAATAATTTCAGTACTGCTTACTATTAAAGACAGACTCCTTGCCTCTCATCAACAAACCATAAGCCAAAACAGTTTCAGAAGATGTCTCATTTTCCAAATTTTCAGCTTTGGCAGGACAAAGGGAAAGGAGCGCAGCAGGAGATCAGATACTGCCACTGCCCAGCATTAAGATGTTACCAGTGGTTTTCGGTAGGGGAAAACAAGTATCACTGTGTGTGCCTAAGGGTAACTGACAGTGACGCAGGGTTCATTTACACTCCTCATCAATTTCTTAATTTCTTCTCCTTGAAAAGGTAGAAATACAATGTTTTATCCACGCTCATGCACACATGCTGTCAGGACGAATTGAAGAAATCCTTGTTCTATGCAGGTACTAAAAGTTGTGCGCAAGAAAAGTTATGCATATCTGGTGGCAGGGTGCAGGAAGTAGACACTGAAATTGCCCGAGTGGAGTCATGAGGATGCCTTAGCATGTTTAATGTAAGTTACTACAGAGACACTCTGTCTCCAAGAAAGCCATTAATAATCAGGTAGTTGGGAGGAGACTTACACATCTAGAAGATCGTCAAATAGTGCAAACAGGTCAGATTCAAGGGCCTGTCCCGGGTGCTAATTGACATCATGGTTAGACAGCCTCTCTTTAAGCCGTCAGTTCTCCTGTCAGATGTTTTCTTTCTAACTTGCATGGTAAGATGCTGGATTTGTTTAAAGTGTACTCACATGCCAACCTGTCTGGGCTTGGCTTTTTTTTTTTTTCTTCTCCTATTTGAGATCCTTTCCTGTATGATCTCCAATGCCAAACTCCAATGCAGCCCCTGAGATCTTCGGATATGCCAAACCCACAGGATTTCTTGATGGATGGTTTTGAAGAGGAAAGAAAAGATGTTGCGGTGATACCTCACTTTCCAAACTAGCCGTGGAAACAACAACAGCAGAAAAACCCCCGGCCTGTCCTTGCTGCCTTTTAGTCATCATGCCTGGGAATGGCTGTAGGAATATCTGCTGCATAATAATCTTCTCTCAGTACTAGCCAGAAATCTTTTCCCTAGGGTCCAGCAAATCTCATCCACCAGCCATCCCTAATTGACGTGGCTGAGCGAGCAAAACCCCTCTGCAGTTGTGGCTTAACCCAACCAAAGAGTCGTTTTGCAGGAGGGATTGTACTGTTCAGGAGAGGCCTTCACCCTCCAGCCAAAAGGCATTTTATTGCCCACATAAGCTCAGTCCCCACTACAGGGCTTTGTCCTGTGGCTGCTCCGCTTTGCTGCCGTGCTGGCAAGGGCTTTCCTGCCTTCCTGCCCGGATGCTGCCCGACATCTTAGGGATGCCATGGGGCAAGTTTCATAGGCAGGCCGCCTTCTGCAGGGGCACCCATCAGAGTAATGCACAACTCGGGGCTTGCTTGATTGCTTTCTGCTAAGGTCTGCAGTCAATGCGATGGGTAGAGAACTTGAGCAGACAAGCGCCGAGTAGGGACACATGCATTTCCTGCAAGACTCAGATGTAACGACTTTGAGGGACGTTGACTTCCACGCGTAGCTTTCAAATGTTTTCATATTGCTGAAGGCATCATTTTTGTGTGGTACAGTTTAAAAGGGGATGGCAGGAAATAGTGCTTTGAAAGTGTGTCTAAAATTGGAGAATGCAAATAGAGGCCATACTTTGAAAATGCAGCTTTTGTTATCCTTTAGCAACTTCCACTAAATAGAGAGGAAGGTTTTCCTCCGAAGGCTCTGTAGGAGAGAGGCCTACATAATCCATAGCATATCCACCTCGGAAAGAGGAACAGCTGGGTCAGTCCCCCTGAGAACTGAAACTGTGGTTACAGGCAGTCTAGCAAGCCTAAATCTGTAGCTTAGACCAAGGAGCTCCAGCTTCTGTAGTGAATACTGTGCTTTGTTTTTATAAGAATGGGTGTAGGTCGTACAACATTATTAGGGGAAAGATCTCGCTACATGAGTACTATGGCATAGTTGTTGTTTTTCCTTTGTAATTCTGGAATAAATTTGTATGAAAACCTTTGCTGTGCTACAAAACTGAAATGTGCAGAAGATGGTAACCTGTTTCAATAGATTTATTGTTATGTTAACTCAGCATACCTCCAGAGAAATGGATTTCCTGAGCGCGAAGCATTTTCCTAGAAGTTGCACGTTCATGGCGTGTGCAATAGTGTGCGGTGGAAACACTTAACCAAAATTTTCTTTGCTCAGAAGAAAAGAAATATCGCAGTAGGATCTTCCTAAAATAGAGAAACATCATCCGTTATTAAGAGCAGTTAGGGAAATTAGCATCTTTACAAACTGGTCTCTTTCATGGGAGCTGCTCACAAAACCAGACATGCTGTTTATGTTCTTAGCCTCAGCTACGTGTAACAGGCAAAGAACATGCATTCCCATTCAATAAAAATTTTCAAACATGTGCTAGGAATCGGCAATATTTGCTACACAATTTCAATTTGAAGATTAGACTCGGCTATAAGAAAGTAAATGTCCATGCATGCTCCATTTGTCATTCATGAGGTTCTGTTTTATTTACTTTGTTTTCTAAACAGACAGGCATGCACACACGTGTTAATTTAAAAAGTAGAGTGACTGTTCATTTAAAACAAGGATGAAATTAAATCCTGCTCCAATCAAACCCTTAGGCTGAGCTGCGGTAAGGCAGATGAGGGGGACTTCAAAGGTGTTACGGCTGTGTTTTAAAATGTCTCACTGAACCAGTCAAAAAATGAATGTTAAAAAACTGTGTTAAAATAAATGAGTCTTGGCAGGTCTGTGAACACAGTAGGCTTGCAAAATGTCCGCGGGGTTTCTGCTCAGCCTTTGGGATTTGGTATTAAGGGCTTTGGGAAGATAGGAAAACCATCTGAAGCAAGATGCAGAAGGGCATGGTGTGTGTGAGTGCTGATGAGCTGCCGTGAAATGGTAGGAATAGAGGGATCTGCATGATCTTGCCCGTGGCAGAGGTCATGGTGGTGGCCAGCAGCACCGCAGTGACAGTGTTTTTCCCTCTTTGCCTCACAGGATGTGACATGTGTGCTGACAACCGCAACGGCGAGTGCCCCATGCATGGGCCCCTCCACTCCCTGCGCCGTCTGGTGGGCACCAGTAGTGCTGCTGCAGCAGCCCCTCCACCTGAGATCCCAGAGTGGCTCCGGGACCTGCCCCGGGAAGTGTGTCTGTGCACCAGCACGGTGCCTGGCCTGGCCTACGGCATCTGTGCGGCACAGCGGATCCAGCAAGGTACCTGGATTGGGCCCTTCCAGGGAGTCCTGCTCTTGCCAGAGAAGGTTCAAGCAGGAGCCATCAGGAACACTCAGCATCTCTGGGAAGTAAGTCATCATCTTTACTTCCTTGTCAAATTTGGTTGTTTTGAAGTAGACATTGAGAGTAACTGTACATAATACTAGCACTGCTCACTAGCCGTGAAAAAAAAACAAAAACCCAACACAATTTAAGTAAGCTGACCTGGCAGATTTGAAAATGTAGCCAGTGCAAGCAAAAGCCTTCCTGCACTAGGGGTAGCCGGAAAACCAGGGGACACCTCAGAGCTCCAATGGGTTTGTACAGGAAGAGCAGATTGTTGCAGCTGCTGTGATGCGGAATAGGGAGACATGGCCAGAGAAAGCTGGAGGTTACAACACACGGTGCTCTATGTTTTGACCTGAGTAACAAGAGCTGATGAAGCTCTCAGGTCACAGTACCAGCTGTATCACCTTAGTCTGAGAAGCACACATGGGTTGAGACGGCGTATTGCACCATTGCCGTGACCTACAGGCAGTCCAAGCAAGCTGCTGAAACAAGTGCAGGAGCCTATTCTACAGCCCCCCCTGTTTGCACCGTGAACGTGTTAGCACTTGTTCACAATTTAGTCCAACTCTGGTCCCGCACTGGCTGTGCATTCCCCTAATGATGCTTGCAGTGCTTCCGTGTGAAAGCCACTTTTAGCTCTCTGACGATGTTCTTTTTTGTCTTTGTCACCATCTTAGAGAGGGTAACAGTGATACTTGATATGAAAACGTTCAGGCTGTGATAGTTTGGTTTATGTTGCGATGAATGCTGACTGTGGCCTGGCGGAACAGATCATAAAGCTGCTGTTGTATTCCTTTGGCTGTACAGGGACATCTGTCGCTGTTACTGTTTGTGACCATGTACGTTTTTTCCAGTGGAGCACTGGGGTTTTGTTCTTAGGTGTAGTTTGTACGCAGACGCTAACAACATCTGGTGGTAAGTTAATTTAGAAAGAAAAGAGAGTATATGCTAATTTTAGGTAGAGATCTAATAATTAATAGGGCACACATGTAAGCCTTGTGTGTGTCAGTACTTCTTATTTACAGAAACAGCTGCCTGTCTACCTAGCCCTTTGCCATTCATTTCTTCTCTGCATTGTGCTGGAAGGTGTCATTTCTTGGTTCTGCTTAGTCCTCTATAGCTGCAGCTTCTGCTCACCCCGAGACTGACTGCTACGGAGAGTCGGTAGAAATGTGCCCGTAGATCTGCAGGTGATATTTACTCAACTAGACCCAATCCAAATCGTCAGAATATAAGGGGACGTGCTTGCTGATTAGAAACCTGACAAGGAGCCCATGAAGATGCAAAGAGTGGGGGTTTTTTTGCTGTCTTCAGTGGGTATACAGTAAAAGTGAATGGATTTTTAAAAGCTGTTGGGTGTTGTGGAGCCAGCATGCTCTGTATAGCACTTGTTCACAGAAACCTGGTGAACCTGAAGAGGTTGGTAGCTCTTTGGGACTGATGATTACCGCTTTCAATCGTTATGTTCTATTTTCGCTTACTGTCTAATATGTGTGACTTCTTTCTATGCGTAGGAGCTTCTATGCATTTCCTACACTCAAACAAATAGTAAATAACACATCAGGGTCTTTGTCTCCAAGTATTTACCCCAAAAAAGTCACTGTGGCAAGAGGGACATTTTCACATTAGCGAGTGCGAGATCAGTCTCAGAACACACCTAAACATAACTCAGTAAAACTGGACGACTTGCAATCACCAGGAGCTTTGTTGCTGCCTTCAGTGGGGATGGAATTTCTCTTGTATAGCAGATATTAATAAATTGGACTTAAATCTATTCCTACCAAAGCCCAGTGATTATAATGAGAGCATTCTGGGCTGGAACACTCTATAATGATGCTAGAGTCTTTTATTTTCATTGTTAAGAGGGGTTTTGTGGTTTGGACTATGCTAATTAACAGAATATAAAATAATAAAAGAATTAAATAAGCTTGCCAGATCATCAAGTTACGTAAAACATTGAAATTTAGCAAAAATAAATGGAGTTAGAGAATTTTACATTATCCTTAAATATTTACATTATCAATTTATTTTTTATTATGAATCAGTTTTATGCAAGTAAAGTTGCAAATATTGACAGTATATTTTTTAAGTAAGCAAGGATTTTTTAGTCTAATTTCAGATGAACTTAAAAATTATTTTAAAACAATGAAAGAAGGAAGGTTGTTGGGGGGAAAGCCAAAAGCAAAGAAGAAAAAGATGTTAAATAAAAATAAGAAATAGTTCTGATGTATGTGCCAGATTCCGGCCATCAATGGGTGTCAGCTGAGTTTCTGTGTGGGTTTGCTCTTCTGTTCTTAACACACAACACAGATTTCCTGTTGGCTAGCAAAATGAATGTGTGTATTTTAAGTGAATTATCTTAAAAATAATAATTAAATTTAGGTTTTTTTGGGGAGGTATTGTGGGAAGCTCGTGGTCTCAGATTATTTCTGTTAATGGCAAAAATTGTTAGCAAAGAATCACATACTCTAAGCTCTAGCTAAAAGTTTTGGCCGTTTCTCATTTGTTTTGACTTTCAATTTGGTATGTTTTATCTATCAGAGAACTAATGTTTAATAACGAAAAAGTAGAGCAAAACAAAATAATCAGAAAGTGTGTGTGATTTTACAAAGCTGATCTATGAAAATAAATAACAGCAATTGAAATTATGTATCTGAATAGTCTGTATTCTTTTAGTCTATGTGGTATAGGAGTGTGGATTAAATCACTGTAAATGTTAAAGGCGTGTCTCATCATTGTGCCTTTATAAAGTTGTGGGTCTAGTCAATTCTCTTCCACCGATCTTTTACAGACAGCGCTGCAAATACAAGTATGTCCACAGATCAGTTATTCAGCATTAGGTCTTGATGGACCTTATAGAGAGAACTTCTTTTTCATGGTACTGTAAATAGCGTCCTAATATTTTTTCTCTCAGCACTGCAAAGTAAAGTTGGTAGATATTTGTTTTCATTTACCGTTCTTTGTTTCCAGTGTACACCAGATAATAGAAGGGCTATTGCAAAGACTTTTAACCGTAGTTACTGATTTGGCGGCTTTTTTTATTCTCTTTGTTGTGGGAAACATCAGAAGCACTGCATTTGATGTATAGTTCAACGCTATGGAAATAGGCTTCAGCCTGTCTGCACAAGTGTTCCCACCATGCACTCAATGTTTGCTTTGTATGTAATCCATACAGCATAATGTACAGCGATTCAGAGTGAATTACATACCATTCCATTACCTCACAACAGGCCTTGACACCTATGGGTGTTCATGGGAAGTTATAGAGTTCTCTCGCAATCAGCCAAGATAATTTTTTACAACTTACAGAAAGATCAGCCCTTCAGAAAGCCAAAAATATTAGTCATTTTTAGTTGTAGGTTTTTGGGGTTTTTTTACCCTTTGGCCCACTTCTATCCAATCCAGAGTTTGCTTGTATTTTATAAAAATACAATAAACTCTGATTTGTTTTAAACAAAAACAGGACTGGGTGTATTAAGTAAATACTCTCTTTGGTAATACAGGCATTTATTCCAGCACTGCTTGATAATATTTCTGATCTTTTTTTTTTTTTTTTCATTTTGAAGTAATGAGAACAATCCTTTTGTTATTGCAAAGAAAACAGAGACTTTCTCAGCAATTAGGTCTTACTGATGAGAATGAGATAATTTTCCCCTAATGTGTTTTCTAATAAAGAAGTGAAAAGGCACACTTGATTCCAACATATATGAAAACATTATCTCAATTATTAATGTGTCCTTACTCCCTGGAGATAAATTAATCTAGTTGCACATGCTTTCCCCTTTCTGTTTAACATCAAAATTTAATAAGACCAGACTTAAGGAATGTATAGATATACACTTAAATTTTATTAGAATAAAATACAGAAGTTTAAAAGGCTTATGCATTTTAGTAGTCAAAGTTTTTCAGGCTACAAACTTTAAACTGTGAATTCTGGAAACAGCTAAATCGTAAATGGTCCTTTCCCCTGCAAAGGCAGTTTAGATGGAAAAACTTTTACTGACAGATGTATCAAAGGATAGAATTGTACGGTTTCCTTTCCTTCATCTGCCTGACAAAGAGTTTGCTGCCTTTCCCGATTTTTTTTTTGTCAGAGGTCGGATAGCTTTTTTTTTTTTGGAATAGCCCAAGAATGCCGACTATATTTTTTCACTTTATTTTAACTTGACTTAAATTAAGTTTTGCTTTTCTGGGAGAAATGCTTTTTCATATGTTATTTTTCTCACAGTCATGAGCAAAATATACATATAGCAGGGCGTTCATTAGTAATTACAAAATTCTAAACTTGTGTTACTGATTTTCCCCTTAAATGGACAGGACTAACTGGCACTACTAGAAAGTGTGCATGTCATCTTAATAAAGTACCATTTGGGTACTTATTGGCCTTTTAGTGCCTCAGCTGACGTCAGAAAAAGCATTGCCTTTGACTTTGTTTGGTCCAAGAACAGGCATTTTCCTGGGACGCATGCTGGCCAGAGTCCATGCAGCGGTATTGTACCTTTCTGTACAAATTAATATGCAGAGAGAATCCTTACCTTTCAAATGAAGCACTCATTCCAGTTATGGTGATAGATCTGTATTCAGATTCTCAAGGCTGTAGTTTTGGGCTAAATTTGCTGTTACAGCAAAGCACCGGGGGATAGAATTATGTGCATGCCGTACTTCTATTAAAGTGAAAATTATGTTTCTCAGCAATCCATCATCTAGTATTCTAGACTGCTTGTCAGCCCTGCTTCAAATATGTCATGTTAATGAAATTCAAATAATTTTGCCTTCAAAAAAACCCTTAGTTATATTACTATTATATCTTAAATTATGCAGAGCAACAGCTGATGCCATTCTGTTGTTTTCTTTTGCCTCTTCTGAGGATTTTGTGTGGTGTACCACGCTTGCATTTATTTTCTATTAAAAAAGCACAATAATTTTTACTTTCACATGGATTTTAAGTTCACATACAGCCTACTGGAAATGTCACTAATGTTGAGTTCAGTAGCTTGCTAAGCTGAAAGTTCAGTAAGAG